ACAGCATTGTGAAATCGGTTGTCAGTGCAAGAGTGGATTCTTAAGAAACGATGCTGGATTGTGCGTCGCCCCCCAGAGTTGCTATTAACGGCATCACTGAAGCCCAATGAAATATATTTGTTTATTTTTCCCCATCTTTTGCTTGTCAACGATGTCACGTAAATATAAGGTAAAAATATAATACGAAAGTACAGAGTGTAATTGAAAAACGGAAATAAAATAATTAAAAAACGTAATATATTATATTATTATATCCAAAAGTAATTGTATAATATAACATACTAAATGGAGGTACGTAAGAGGCACGTCAGACACGGTTAGCGTCGTTGAAATCGCTAACAAAGACCACGATCGATCACCTGCAACGTGTTCATTTTGCACGTTCACCTGTTCAAATGGGATAGACGACGCGCAAAAAGACTTTTTGGGGATAATTTATATAAAAAAAAAAAAAAAAAACGAAACGACATTGGAAACTATCGTCAGAACACAAACGCGGTAGACCACGACAGCGAAAATATTCCGGGTTGTAAAATTCATCCGATAAAGGAAACCATCCGAGTGAAAGGAAAATTATGGAAATCGTCATCGACAGACTTTGAGAAACGACTACACGCGTCAAGAATGAATTATGCTCTCTTTAAGTAAGCAAAAGCGTTCGGTATAAAAAAGACCTCGAAGAAAAACGTTTCATTAGTGTCGTAGTTGAACATTGTCAGGGTAACACTTAGCTTTGGAAACTAAGCAAAATGAAGTCGATTACTGTGACAGCTTTCATCGCGCTGATCCTTTGCGTTGCGTGTAAGTACGATCATTGGTACGTGTGTGTACCACTTTTTAGTTGATTACTGTCTGTTAATTGACAATACGCGATCGCGCGTATCCAACAATTCACAGAAAAAAGAAAATACTTTTAAACGCTTCATTTGAACTATTTGTACGTGATTTATATCGTACTTGCACGTTCGTCACCTTGCTAATGACGCCGTTCCCGATTCGTCACGACCTACACATATCGATACCAAAACAAACGGTTCGGTACAACGCTTCGGAACGCGCCGCTGCTACACATCGTCGAAATCGCGAAATATCTCGATTGCGAATAAGAGCCTGAACACTGTCATTCTGTGTAATATTTATTCGAAGCAATCTCCCTACAATTATTAATTTCTTGCATCGACCACTCGAAAACATAGGATGATCTTATTTCCGAATATTTCTAAAAAGAGAATGGACGTAGGCTACTCTAATGATGTACTTTCAGATATCCCTGAGACTGTTTCTGAGGAAGGTACGACGGAAGCCCCTACGACTACCCCTGCCCCCACTACTACCCCTGCTCCTACGACTACCCCTGCCCCCACTACTACCCCTGCTCCTACCACCACCACCCCCAAACCTACTACTACCACCCCCAAACCTACTACTACCACCC